CGTTTGTGTTGGACCTTGCTCAGCCGGTCTTGCAAGAACGGCTCGGCTCCTTTTTGGAGATACTGGCCAAGTTGGGTTTTGGTTGCGTAAAGCCGAGTGCTGGAGTCCGATTCCGGGTCAGTGTCCTCGTAAAACCCGACTATTTCCACCTTGACATGGTCCTTCAGCCTCAGGGGGTGATGGATATGCTTGCTTAGACTCTTAGCCTTCAGCACAGCCATATGCAAGTCCTCGAGGAAATCATGCATGGTGGAGATGTTGTTGGGCCCAAACGATGCAATGTTGGCATGGCTGTTGTCTATAGCAAAGACATCTTCTCTAGCCAATTCGAGCAACGCAGACTTGACTGACACCAAGGGAGCTGTGAACTTGACTTCACTGGCAAAGTCGGCACCCGTGTTGGAGAGTTCACTGTCAATGGTCTCGTAGAAGGACCAGATGCGGAGTTCACTTGCAATGTCCACAAACTGCTCGTGCACTTTGTCCAGCCAAGGATTGTTGTTGGTATTGACCTTGATCTGGTTGATCAGCGAGTTAGGTAGAGGCCGTTGCAACTGAAGTAACTCGCGGACGCTTTCCCTCAGGTTCCTCATGGACATGTAACTTGAACCCCGATGAGGGGTGGCTGAGTTTGGTTAACAATTTTTTTTATAAGGTTGAAAGTGCGGTTAGGAAGGGTCCATACCAAAGAAGCCAACGCCATGGCAATTGTTTCTGATATCCTTGTACCGGCTGTCTTCATGGGCCTTGAGCAAAGCCCGCTTGACTACCAAGCCACCAATGCTATGGGCAATGAAGAAGAGAGGACGAGACGGGCGCTAGGTCGATCAGTCTTGGAAGTTCCAATGAAGCAACAGAAACACGTGGTTCCTGTTCTTGGGTTTTAGGTAGGGAAGGTCTTACCACGCCTTGGCGGATTTGCAGTACTTGATCCAGCAAGTCAACTGCCAGCATGTCGATGTTTATGCCTTCTCTCAATCCTCGATGCTTGTACGCCAGCGCCCGAATCATGGGCTCCTTGTTCCGGATTCCCTGTTGAATCCATACATAAGGGGGCCTCGAGGATTTTGGCGTGCCAGGTTTCTCGGGAAAGCCAAAATCCATGTCGGTTACCGGGTCGCATGTCCATGGATGAAGCGGTTCCGCACCGGGACACGGCACGGCGATGAGGTCGACTTTGGTCTCATTGTAGCCATGACCGCCAATATCACCGTCAATGACAGCCCAGCCGGGCTCCGAGTCGGCCAACGTGACGGCGCTGCCCACGGTGGGTTTGGAGATGTTGCGCAAGTTGGTCATGATGGGATGACCTTGCAGGATCTTCCTGGCTTCATCACGGGCCCTTTCTTGCGAGGATCGGCCAGCAAAGGGGTCTTGGCCGGAAGGTTGTTGTTGGTGGTGGTGAGGCGGAAGGCCGACCGCCGCCGTGACGGCTGCTGCCGCATTCTCGAACTCGCCGGTGGCCGTCCCACTGCGACTCCCCACTGTCGGCGGTCGGGTGGGCGGCCGTAGCGGTTCCAGCTCTACAGCCTTGTCAGTGGAGCCGCTAGAGCCATTGTTGTCCATAATAGCACCCAACTGTGCTGAGCAGATCGGATCCTGTATTCTCCAGAGTCTTGGTTTTACAGGTAAAGGGCAGCACAAAGTTGGAAACAAGGTCGAGAGATGTTGCGGTGGCCAAGACCGACAGAGTTGTGGAAGCAGACTTGGGACTATTTAGTTGGGAAAAGAGACCACGGATAGGCCAGCCAGCAGCGGTAAAGTGCTGCCAAGATAGCTGCCAAGAACAGCTTGAGCAGTCTATATCAAGCGTTGACCACACTTGCGCACACCAACCGCCCACCACCAGTCCAGGAGAGGCAACCGTCCAGGGGGGCGGGTTTTCTGACAGAGGTGGGATTGGTCCGTAGATGGTAACTGACTGGATCAGTGGGTCGCGAGGGACCGGCAGAGGCATATGGTGCGGACCGAGAGGTTCTGGAAGGTGATAAGTCGTGTGTGTGAAGTTCGCTGAAATATCTTTGGCAAAGACCCCTCTCTAGCTGTGGAGGACTGCTGAGAAGAGAGCTGTCACTGGACGTCTGGCTGCGAGCAACATGGAAAGGGTTTAGCTTGGTCGATCCAAGCTCGAATGTCTTTACCGCCTTCCATGCCGCCCTCCCGCACCCGGTGCTGGGGACGAACAGGACGGAAAGGTAGGCAGCTGATGGAACTGATGAGCACCGATGAACACACCTCGAAAGTGTGTGGGCGAAACTTGGTCATGATCGTGGGGTGCTCGGTAACGTATCTGTTGCTGCCAACTGTCGGCTAGTTCGTTGCTTTTGTTGCTCACTTGTTTGCTTTCTCTCCTATGAATAATTAAAGATCTCGCGAGGCAACGTCAACGGATGCCAAGTACATGAAATGTGATGTTTCAGTCGCAGAGGCCTTTGAACCTGTATGGTCATGTGAAATGTAATGTGTGATATGATATGAGCTAGCTGATGTCATTCAGTTGGACTGCGTGAGATGTGATGAATGATCATAAGGTAAGAATCCCGTCGTTCAGTCAGCTTGTCTGTTGTCGGGCTGTAGTGTCTATGTTCCAGAGATGGGTAGTCTTGGCTCGACTATAGGACCCTCGACATGTAGTTGTAGCGCCAATATACACTGCGCAGTATCTTGGCAGGCTAATCCCAGCTCGAATCGAACTGCCCTGGATGGGGACGACGTCGACATCATATGTGCCTGAATGCGGGCTTCCTGATGATCTGATAACGAATCTATTGTGACCTGCAGTCATCAGTTTGCCCAGAGCGCCTGATATTCCAAACACTGCAATGTCAACTTGTGAAAGACATACACTAGGTTGTACCATACTCTGAAGAGTCTCTGGTCTGTCAGTCTTTTTGCAGTCCTCTTTGTCTTTAGGCGCAACATGTGTGTTGCCGAACCACAAAGTACTGATGACATTGTTGCCGTTGTTGGCACCAAATCAATTCTTTCTCTTCTTGTCACAAACTGGAACGGCTCTTGACAGTCGTTTGATAATCCTCTTCAGCCAAGATCAACTCGGCTCAAAGAGATAGTGACTGGACTCAGGGTCTGACTGATTACCCCAAATGTCTTGATCAAGGGACCGTAGAGATGATGCCTTTCTTGAAGGGGAAGCGTTTGTGGATGAGCTACAGACGGGTGGGAGTTCTTGAGATGAAAATGGAAAGAATTCAGCTTCGTCTGTAAGAAGCCGCGAGAGTAACAACGGACGGCGGCTTTCACTCCGATCTAATGCCCAGGAACTGAAGTTGAAGACGGGAAGCGCAACAAAGATCTGGTGTTGCAGTATACGGAACATGACGCACGAGCCACCCTTCAATCCCAGGTCCTGCCGTTGTGCTGCCCTCTTCCATCTCTTCAAGTTGCCTGCCCGCATTGCCTGCCGGTGACCGCTGCTCGCCTTGGCAATAGTGTACATAGCATGTACCTAGGTAAGGTAGTGTAGAGGTAGAGGTAGAGGGGGTAGGTACCTCTCCCTCCCTAAGTACCTACCTACCGCCCCGTACCGCACTGACACCCAACTCTGTTGGCCTGTTGCCTGCTGCACTGGCAGTTGGAGGGGAGGCACCTGGGGGGAAACGGGCGCGACACGGGACGGGACCTACCTACCTAGGTAGAGGTACCTACCTTACCTACTGCGCCGGGTGCTGTTGAATGAATGCCGCCCGGGGCCTGCACAACCGCAGCGTTGTTCTTTCTCACCTCAGAGGAGTGGACCCCCAACCCGAGCTGCGGCAACCGTTGCCTTGCGCTGTGAAAGTGGAATGCGCCAACCTCACACGTCGGAAAAAGCACAACGACGGGACCACTCCGGGCTTGGAGCCAACCAGACTCGAATCCAGAATCCATCGTCCATCTTTCTCTCCTCCCCCTTGACTTGTGATCGCAACTCCGCAGTCCAGAGCCCCGACCAATATCCAAAACATAACCGTCGACGCCGCGCCCGGCAGCCCCGCTACGTCCGCACGCACTTTGCCTCGTCCTTAGTGTTGTCGAGCCAGCCGATACCCCGACCGCCGCCGTCAAGAGACAAGACAGAGAGCCCCTCGCTCCGCCGCGCCGCCGCCGCCGCCGCCGACTGAACCGACGACGCCTCGCTCACCCGAACCCTACAAAGTGACGGAGATCTCGAGGCTGAGCGATACCGTACCAGACCAAGTCTCGTTTTTACGGTCATTTATCACCACCACCACCACAACACACACACACACACACACCAATACCGACTTGTATTACATACTAGACAGAACTACCACCAGCACCACCACCACCGAAGTGAGCATTTACCTACCTACGTATTCAATTATCTGGCATAGTCTCCGTCCTTTGCGCGCCCCCCTCCACAACCCCCCCTCCCCCTCCCCCCTCCCTCCTCTTCATCCTCCTCCTTGTTGGCCGTCACAAGCACCAGCGCCCGGGACCACTACCACCACCACCACCACCACCACCACCGACGTCCACGTCTGCAACTCCGTGTCAGGACAAGCGAGGATGGGACGCGGTAGTTAAGTAGTGTGCAGAGTGAAAGAGGTAGTTGCTCGTTGGATCCCCCCGTCTCTGCAGCTGCCAGGTACACCTACACTACTCTCTGTGTGCCTGCCGGCATTCATCCCCGAGCACAGGTACCACGTCTAGCCTTGAGTGGCTACCTACCTCGCGTCTACCTACTGGATGGTGGTTCCACGACGGAGAACTACTCCAGCTTCATGCTACTCCCAAGCAATCCGTCTCCCAACTCACCTCCATTCCCGTCCCTACATTCATCGTCATCACAGTACCACCTTCCCGAGCTTCTACCATACTACCTACCTCTAGGCCGATGGCGCTAGTCACAGCAACCTCAATCACCCCAGTTCAAAAGTAGCCCCACCAGCACAAGTCGAAGCTCCCTGACCAACATCCCAGATATCCAGATTTAGTTGCTCTTGAGCAATCCATCACCGAGGACACACACATCGATCCCTCGCAAGTGGGACCCCGAAACCGACTCGTTGAAAAAAAAAGGTACGCTTGCTGCTGTCACTCCCGCATCCACGTCCGCGCCATCATCTCGTCATCGCGAACCGCGCCGCGACCGCTTCCATCGTCCGTCTCCCTGCTGCCACAGCCTGCGATCGCGGCCAGCCTCGTGACTACTACCCTCTGCCTCGAGTCACCGTATTGCCCCAGCATTATCCACTCGGCTCGGGCAACCTGTCCACAACCAGACCTATCCGCAACAACAGCTGCGCCGAATCGTCCTCCGTCACCCCCTCCACTCCGTTATTACCACGCTGCCCACCCTCGACCGTGCTGTCTATACACGTGCTTCGAGCTTCGCTGACCTGGCCTTGTTCCTCCCTACCAGATAGTTAATGAGAACGGCATGGAAGGGTTTCGGTCTTACTTTCAGCGGTTAGTGGTCGGCAATGCCGGCCAAATCTTTCCGACCCAAAAATGGCAGGGCGTCAACTCGTCCACCTACCATCAGCTCGTCGCAGAGGTGAAGAAGCTATCACAAGACTTTGAGCAGTCCAGGAGAATTGCCGAGGCGATTGAGACAGGCACAGAAGACCTCTTCCGCGACTTTGATCTTTCCACCTTCATGGAACATTTCAAGCTCGATGCTTTTGAAAAGACTGTTCTAGCGCTTGCCTTCAAGCTTGGGAGCAAGCCCGACCTCAAGACCAAGGGTAGGCCTTCCCATTGCCTCTCCCCGGCTGCTTTCGTGGCCTCGGCCCGTTGTTTGCTGACCCCAGATCCTTCCATCTAGCCGACGCCATCTTATCAACAAACTTCCCCATGTTTGGCAACATTCTCAGCAAATCGTCCGGCACGCATACGATGCTTGGACCTGATTTTATCGCTGGGTTGCTCGATCGCTTCATTCAAGTCCACCCGCCCAATTTCAACGCGGCAGCAAAGAAGGAGTTGGAGCATAATGTGCAGTCTCGATACATCCAAGGAAATCCCGATTCGAACCCGCTGCCTCCCTCTCAAGTGCTGTCCGCACTTGATCTAATGCGACTATTGGCAGACCGACCCCCGAATGCCTTGACTCTCTACATCCACAAGACCGGGCGAGACTTCACCGAGATTGAAGAGACTTGCTATAACTACCTCCGGAATCGTCCGGCGAACTGCCAGTTGAGTGAGGAGCAGGTATCCCACGCGCTCATGTATACGACCATCAGCCAAACCCCTCCGCATAACCCTTCGGTTCTTGTCACGGCTTTCAGGCGTGTTCTGCCAGGTACCTTCAGATGGCAGGATGTGGTCTCGTACTTTGATCACAGCGGTGCCCGAATCACTGCGCCCCAATTTCTTCGTCTCTACAATGCTCTGCTGCCGATAGCGCAAGACGACAGCCAGGGTTTTGATATTCAGCGGCTATGGGGTGGCGAGTGGGAAAACCCAGAGACTCAAATGTCCTTTGTCTGCGCATACACCTCACTGCTGCCTGAACAGCTGGACGCCACCACCATCCCGGGCCTGAAGCCGACCTTCACCTTGGACGATTATGCACAAGCACCCCAGATGATCCGGGAAACGGCCGCATATGCAGTCAGGCATCCCTTGGTATCCGAAGCGGCCATGTCTGCCATCTTCAACGTCGCCCTCCACTCTACACACGCCTCCAAGTGTACCGAAGCCAAGCGTCTTTTCCAGGATGTCGTCGTTCCCCAAGTGGCCATCTTTGTGGTCTCGGCCTTCAGGGTGCCCAAGCCTTGGCCCAAGCTAGCTGAGGACGCCCTGGTTGACTTGTTCATAGAGTCGTTATGGGCAGCCAAATCACCCGAGACCGATTTTGTGATGAATAGCCTGTGGAGGTGGGACAAAGATTGGGTCAAAATGAGGTTGATAGATGCCCACGCGCACAGGCCGATATGTCTGCCACAAATATTCGAGCATTCCATACGGCAAGGCTGGCTTGAGGAGCTTGTCTATTTAATCAATGGCTTTGGGTTCGATCTCACTGCTCTAGCCCACGCCGAGGGCTACCTCGACTTGCAGGAGTGGGCACAGAAGAACGCAGAACGGAGTACCGAGATGGCCTCGGCCCTTCTTCAGTTCCTGATGATCAAGGCGAATCTCGAACTGCAGTATCAGCGTTCTGGGCCCGGTGCCCCTAAGCAGAGCACCACCCTGCAGGTTCGGACAGTGTCTGCCATGCTTCAGATCCTGGAGGAGTTTCTGCCCAAGTCGCCGATCCCGGAGCTTATTGTGGTCCAACGGCAATGTATCACGGCGTACCCGAGGCTTATCAATTACGGCGAAGGGTTCGATGACATTATTGACGCCAACGGTCGTGATGGAAATTCCTTACCCCAGGCTGCTAATGTTAGAATGGAGGAGCACTACAAGAAAATGTACAGCGACGAAGTCGCGGTGCGAACCATCGTTGAGGTTCTCGACCAGTACAAGCACTCGCGAGATCCTCTCGAACAAGACACCTTTGCTTGCATGATTCACGGCCTATTCGATGAATACGCGCATTATGAGAATTACCCTCTGGAGGCGCTCGCCACCACGGCTGTGCTCTTCGGCGGCATCATCTCTCACAAGCTCGTTTCGGAGTTGCCCCTCAAGATCGGACTTGGCATGATCCTCGAGGCTGTCCGGGACCATCAACCCCAGGAGCCCATGTACAAGTTTGGCTTGCAAGCTCTTCTTCAACTCCTACCTCGCTTACGCGAATGGCCAGGGTTTTGCACGCAGCTATTGCTCATCCCGGGTCTTCAGAATACGGAGGCCAGCAAGAAGGCCGAGGATGTTCTTCGTGAGCACGAGGAGGAGACGATGCGCGCCCGCGGAGGCACCTTACCGCTTGGCCCGACCATGGGTAACGACAACATGACAAACGGTAACCTTGACGAGGCTCACGGTTCGGAGCAGCACCCACTGCCATTCGCGTCGGTCAACGTTGATCCGCCTCCACCGGGGGTGATTTATGAGGACCCAACCGCCGAGGCCCAGGGCAAGATTCAGTTCTTCCTCAACAACCTCACTGAAACTACACTGCAGACTATGTACAAGGACCTTCGCGACATGTTGGAGACCAAGCATCAGCAGTGGTTCGCTAGCCACCTGGTTGAGGAACGTGCCAAGATGCAGCCGAACTACCATCAAGTTTACCTTGACCTGGTAAAGATGTTTGAGGATAAGTCACTGTGGGCCGAGGTTTTGAGGGAGACCTATGTCAGCGTCCAGAGAATGCTCAATTCCGAGGTTACGCTGCAGAACTCAACTGAGAGGACGCACTTGAAGAATTTGGGTGGCTGGCTCGGTCTTCTGACGCTCGCGAGAAACAAGCCCATCAAGCATAAGAATATCGCTTTCAAACAGTTACTTATGGAAGCGCATGATACCAAGCGTCTCCTGATTGTTATACCTTTCGTCTGCAAGGTCCTCGCTCAAGGAGCTTCATCAGAGGTCTTCCAGCCACCTAATCCCTGGCTGATGGACATTATCCATCTCCTGATCGAGCTGTACCACAACGCCGAGCTGAAGCTGAACTTGAAGTTCGAGATTGAGGTCTTGTGCAAGGGCCTCAAGCTGGACCACAAGAGCATTGAGCCGTCTGGCGAGATTCTCAACCGGGTTCCTGTCGAGGAAGTTCCTGATCTGAATGGGCAAGAGCTTGAGCCCTACGACAACACCTCTATTAACGGTATGGGTAGTGTCGCGGGTGGCCTCCCCGCTCATGCCTCTCTTCCGATCCCCGACCTTTCCGCCAGCCTCTCGATCCCGCCAACCGAAGTCATTGATCAAGCCAAACTGCACAGCATTACCTCTCAAGCAGTTACGCGAGCCCTGCAGGAGATCATCCAGCCAGTGGTTGACAGGTCCGTGACCATTGCGGCGATAGCCACACAGCAAATGATCCATAAGGACTTTGCCACCGAGCCTGATGAGAACCGGGTGCGGGACGCGGCGATCAACATGGTCAAGTCAACTGCGGGCAGTCTTGCCCTGGTCACGTCCAAGGAACCCCTTCGCTCCAACATGGCCAACTACCTTCGTGCTCTCTCGGCTGAGATCGGTCTAGTGCTGCCCGAGGGTATTATCATGCTCTGCATCAACTCGAATTTGGATCTCGCTTCTAGCGTAATCGAGAAGTCGGCTGAAGATCGTGCGGTTCCGGAGATCGAGGAGATGATTCAACCTGAAATTGAAGCCAGACGCCGGCATCGTGCGCAGCGTCCGAATGAGCCATATATGGATCCTGGACTCACTCGCTGGGCCTGGACCATTCCTCATCCCTTCAAGTTGAACCCAAGCATGACTGGTCTTAACGCGGAGCAAATGGCTATCTACGATGACTTTGCCCGACAGCCGAGGGCAGTCGCTTCGACGACAGGACCGTCCCACGCAGCCTCCACATCGGATGCCAGGTCTCTCGCAAATGAAGTCCTTGGAGATCAGTTCAACACTATTTCGGCCCTTCCCACACCTGCGGAGACACCTTCGCTTCCTCACCTCGGTGGTCAGCTTCAGCACTACCCCCAGGGAAGTGGCGGATTGGCAAACGGACGTCAAGCCGGGCTTAACCAGGTGGATGCCAGGACCATTGCTGACAGAGTCAACAAGCTTTTGGAGTCACTGACCGCGGCCGCCACTGGTGCCACCGAGGAACACTTCAATGAACTGCCCCGCGCTCACCAAGTCCTGGACATCATTGACGCTCTTGTGCAACTCATTATCAAGACTCAGCAGACGTCTGAAGAGTTTGCAGCATATGCCGCAACCCAGATCGCCCAGTTGATCTTCAGACAGCCAGGCGATACCCTCTTGCTTGAAAGTCTCGTCCATGTCCTCGAAACCCTCCGCAAGATTGCCGGTCCGGCCACGAGCCAGCAGATCAGGAGCCTCTTCCATCAACAACCAGCGGAATACTTCCTCAACCTTTCGCTCATTGCAGCACTGCTCGGCACGGACCTGCTCGACTGGAGAAGCATTGATGCGGCCATGTCTATGGCCCTCCAGCAACGCAAAGAGGGATCCGTCGAGTTCCTCGAGCAGCTTGTGGATCTTACGCTGCTGAGTGAGAGCCCTCTTGCGCTCTATGCTGACTTTGTCCGCAGTTTGGAGGAAGCATGGGCCTGGATCAGTGAGAATCCGGATGTTCCAGGAGGCCAGAGTCTCAAGTCCAAGATCCTTGCCCCTCCTCCGGACTTACCTGAAGGCCTTACTCCGGCAGAGATCCTCGCCATCCGTCAGGACCAGATGGAGTATGTCTTTGACGAATGGGTTCACCTCTGCAACAACCCTGCCGCCTCCTCCTCCAAGTCGTCGACGATCTTTGTACAGCAGATGCGCTCCAGAGGAGTCATTGTTAGCACTGATGATTTCCTCATGTTTGCACGCCTAGCCATCGACAAGTCTGTGGACCGCTTCGAGCATGTTGTTCACCTCAATGGAACGATAACGGAGGCGTACCAGGCTATTGATGCTTTGGGCAAGATGATCCTTATCTTCTTCCAGTCCCACGAAGACAATGCCGACGGACAAACGGCTCGCGCTGCTTTCATTGATTCCATCCTCGCCCTTGGTGTGCTGGTGCTGAATAGCCACCACGTCAAGCGTGGCGACGCTTTCAACTCAAGGGTGTTTGTTCGGTTCTTCTCCTACCTCCTCCACGGCATTCACTCTCTAGAGGAGCTGCCAGAAAATGAGCGTGATCGCTTCATGCTTAGCTTTGCCGAGCGTCTTTACGACCTGCGGCCGAGCCTCTACCCAGGCTTCGTCCTTGGCTGGCTCACACTTGTCACCCACCGTGTCTTCCAGCCAGCCATGCTTCAAATGGCTAACAACGCGGGCTGGGAGGCGTACACCAAGATCCTTCGGGATTTGCTCTCTTACCAGGGCGAGCTGCTGAAGCCGCTCGAGCTCTCGATCTTCGCCAAGGAAATGTACCAGGCCGTCCTAAAGCTCCTCATCATCCTGGGGCATGATTTCCCCGATTACGTGTCTGCCAACCATGTGCTGCTGTGCCAGAGCTTGCCGCCTCACGCAACGCAATTAAGGAACATGATCTTACTGGCTACTCCTGCTTCGGCCGCGAAGCCGACCGATGCCTTCCAGCCCGGCTTGAAATTGGATCAGATCGCAGATATCAAAGAAGCAGCGATCAGTGTCTACGATCCTGCCGAGCAGCTACGCCAACTGGGGCTGCTTGACATTCTGGACCAGGCTTTGCAGAACGGCCCGTCCGAAGATGCCATTGCGCAGATTACACACGCTATCACTAGGTCTGGTAGCGGAACGACGGACTATGGCTTCGTCCCTATTGACGTCAACCGTCAAGTCATCGACGCCGTAATCACGCATATTGGCAACTTTGCCGTCAACCGCGCCGCCACCAGGAACGACGCCTCTGTGTTTGTCCCCGGCGCACCAGACCTCAAGACACTGCAAATGCTCATCACGGAACTCTCCCCCGATACGAGGTACTTCGTTCTGAACAGCATGGCGAACTGGCTCCGCTTCACCAGCGCCCACACGCACTATTTCATTCAGGTCTTCCTTGACTTCTTTGGCCACGACGTCGCCTCCACGGATCCTGAGGAGATGGACATTCGGCAGCAGATTGTTCGGATCCTCCTTGAACGGTTAATAGGCTACTGGCCGTACCCGTGGGGTCTGATCATCACCACCATGGAGCTGGTCAAGAACGAGAAGTACAACTTCTTTGAGCTGCCTTTCATCAAGGCCACCCCTGAGGTGCGGAGAGTGTTTGAGGATAAGGTTCGCCAGCACTAGAACCGCTCGATAACCGATGGGGAGCAGATGAGATGGGGGTTCGGCCGTCCGCCGATCCAGGGCTCGCTGGGGAGATTGTTGCTAGGTTGCATATACCGAAGTTGTTATGATGGAGACCTAATGTCCTCATATGGAGACTCGTTTATACCACTGGGCCCATGGAGCAGCAGAGACGCATTAGTCGAGCTAGGGTGGAGATATGTGCCGCCCCCAGAGGTCTCTTGGCCACGGTGGTCTTGGAAACCTCTTTCCAAGCCAGAGCCAGAGCCAGAGCCAGAGCCAGAGCCAGAGCCAGAAGCCAGAAGCCGAGGCCGGAGACGCAGACGCAACCCGAAAAAGCAGAATCAGAGATTTTAGTGCTGACAGACGATCAACAACGGTGGCGGAAGAGGGCAGTAGACAAGGCGCGAGGGGAGGGTACCAGGAGAAGCTTAAAGTATGGAATGGTGAGTGATGTATGTAATTAGCATGGATATAATCTCACACCAACAAAGCGGAAATAATAGGAGTTTGGAACAAAAGCGAATAGAGATTATAATGTTATACTCGGTACTGTGTTCCAATTCCGTTTCGCCTTGTTCTACTCGCTGAGAAAAGGAGGGAAGAAGAGAAGAAGAGAAAGGGGTTAGGTGGTAATGGTTGATATGTAAGGATTCAAAATGGTATGTAGTACAGCTTTTCAGTTGATACTTTACTGCCAGTAGTACTTTTGCGATGATCATTTCACGTGTGGTGATTCGTGCTCGGCCGTTCTTTTTTTGTCTTCTCCGTTTTTGCTTTTTCGTCTCTCTAAAATAACGAGGGGCCTCATATATATCTCAAAGGGTCGGTTCATTGTACATTCATTACATACCTATCTACACTCTCATCAATCTCAGCTAATCCACCAGACAGAAAATCAACAAATGTTTTCCCCCATTATAACTTTTTTTCTTGTTCTTTTTTCCCTCCATCAACTCTCAAGAAGAATGTTAACCTGATAGAAGGTGAATCAGATAGATGGATAGATGGACAGGTAAGCAGGTAAGTAGATGTAGATAAATAAATATCCATAATGAAAAAAACAACCAACTAACTACTAATTAATCCATCTATAGCTTCTTTTGCATATATCAAGAAAAAAGAAAATGTTTCACACGTTTATCCTGTCCTTGCTTACAGGGTAGTCTAGTCTAGTCTACCACTCTGGACACACAGACCTACCAGTTAACTATTTTTACACTCATCTACCTACGCTTTACTTACTCACCTTGAACTCTTTACCTCATACACACACAACATCAATGTGTTTCTTATACTATACTATAATGTCGTTGGCAACACATAGACACTGACCGACAACCTCGCTACCTTATCTACCTAGGTTGATCTAGTTGATCAATTTTATCAATGTTCTTGACACCTTCTTTCTTCTTACTTCTTATTCAATTCAAGGACGCCGACCTGAGTGAATTCTCGGGCGGGCAGATAGGGTAGAAGATGTACCACACACGAACGGGATCTCGCTCTTTTGTGTAACACTTCATTTGATGCAGTGCGAGATACCGTAGTCCCCTGAATCTCTCTCTGTGAATCTGCAGATTCCCGTAAAGTACTGATTGATGTCAGGGTCCATCATTTATTTTCGTTATTGACGACCCGTCCAAATCTGAGGACAAGGTTTGGTAGAGGTCGGTTAATCGTCAGGTCTTCAAAATCAACTGTCTGACTAGTGGGCTAGTTGGCAACATGTTCATCATATATTAGCACCGGACACTAAGAAATGATTCACAGTCATCGTTGGGGTATTGAACAAAAAAGGTAGCAGCGAAATAGGAAGCGCCTGTCTTCTTTCTAGATATAGGAATGAGTCGAGCTTTCTAGCAGTAGTATATAAAAACTCCAGATCTGTCTTTTGTTTTTAATCCAATCACCTTCTTTCTCTTCTCTGGGATTTTTTTTTTCCTTCTTGTCCTCTTGTCTATCTTTGAACATGATAATTTTTCTCTTCTCTGATCTCATCCTCTGGCTTTTCCCTTTTGTGTATCACCACATACTGCCCGCTCTCTATATCTCGAGAAAGGGGCAGGAAATCCGGAAAGTACTAGTAACTTTCCATCTTCTTTCGTTCCTTTCATACGCTTGACTGGCCTTGCTGCGCCTCTTTGCAACCGTGGAATTAAACCAAAAAACCCAGTTGTCTGTTGTTGCAAAGAGACTCGAAAAAGAAGTGGGTTGGGCCGCAGTGTTCCACGACATGCTGCGCCCAGGGTATTCGCTTGACAACGCAATCTCCGTCCTCCTAATGTATGAAAATCCATCCCTAGGTATCCAGGCCATTCGTGTTTCTCTCTCCTCATCACGGCACCATTCCCAGGTACGCGCGGCATCCTTCCGTCTCCCATTACTGGTAAGGATGACTGACCCAAAAAAAAAAAAGGGAAAAAAAAGGAGCAGAATAATCCCAAAGGAGTTTGTTGTAAACCAAATAAGTGCAATGGGGGAGATTTCCATCGATCCCGTGAAAGCAAAAAGAAATATTCAAAAAGCCAACCGTCTGACACCTTCCTTGACATGCCCACATCAGCTGAAAGTCATAAACGCCATTTCGTGACCCAGCTTCGTCTATGGGATGAACCAATCCGTAAATGCCCCTGTAAGCCCCCCTGTGAACTCCTGTGAAAACCCCATCAAAATGATCTGTTGGTAGCGCACACACTTGCTTCAATCATACACACGTTGCGCTGTTGCACCACATGGCTTGACTTCCGAGACTTGGAAGTTGCCCAGAAATCCCGACTTCAGTCGTAAAGAAATAGTCATGAGAAAGATGGTGTGGGAAAAAGGAGATTTAGAAATCATCCAGGAGGCAATCAAGCTCATCGAGCTCAATGTTCTCTGGGTTGCGATCCCACTCGAGCATCGCATCGAGCTTGCGCCAGCTCTCGGACTCACTCGTACCGCCCAATTCCTTACGGCCGTAGTTCAAGGACATCATGGTCGAGGATGGCTTCATCGCAGGACTCGTAAGATACGAGGTCCGCTCACCGAACAACACATTGTCATCCTTGGGGCAATAGTCAATGTCCATAGCGGTGTTCACAGGGGAAGACGCGGAGAGTTCACCGTTGAGTTTCCGTTTTTGGAGGCCAGTAGCTGTCTGTGTGAACTCTTTTTCGTCCTTCTCAAGCGGAGGAGAGACGGCGCGGTGATTGCGGCCGTTCTGACTGTTGTTCGAGGAGTGGGCCCCGGACAGGCAGTAGCGTGTGGAGAATGAGCCAATTGGTGTGCTGGGCATGGGGACGTCGTCCTCCATGTCGTCAAACTCGGGGCTCGAGAGATCCACCTCGGGGCTGGGGCTAAGCTCACGTCGTCGGTCCAGGTCGGACTCATCGGTCCCTGATGCGGCGCTTGAGATGCTAGGCGAGATGATAGCGCGCGAGGCAAGATTTAGCGCAGCCGCCTGAGCCGGGTCGGGGAGCGGCTGGTGGGGGCATGTGGTCAGATAGAAATATGTGCGGCGCGGGTGAACAGACTCGAGCTCCTTGGCAATTGGGCACGGAGACGAGACGTTCCAGCACGTCCTCTTGAGGAATGTAGACAAGCGAGACGAAACAATGGCACATGGGTTGGCAGATCTGACAGAAGCACGACCAGTTAGCGAAACAACATTCTTGCAACGGCAATTGGCAGAAGGTGAACTCACTGTTGAACAATCTTCAACTGCTGCATCAAGACTGCGGCAAGCTCCTTGACCAAGTGCGGCCTGTTGCCGGTATTTTGGAGCTGGACGATAACGGCTTCGACGATGTCATCATTGATAGCCTCAAAGTCAATTGGCCTAGGAGGATCGTCGCACTCGACAGATTGGCGCGCCCCGCCGGGGGAGGGAGGGGGTGTGTTTTGAAACCTGACAGTCTCGCGCTCCTCACGCTTCTTCTGTTGGGGTTCGGACGGATGCGCGCGGCCCTCGGTCTCGACAGCGCTGTGCGTGCGCTTGAGCTTCTTGGAGGAGGTAGACTCCGCTTTCGAGCTGCTTGTATTTGATGGAGTAGGCGAGGCCATGTTTGCTGCTGTGTTTGATCGTGTGTGGGAGCTGGTGTGAGAAGAGTCCTTTTGTTCTTTTGAGGCTTTGCCTGCGGCAGCGGCGGCTCTTGAGTCTTTGGAGACCGGGACGTGGATGCCGAGCGAGGGCAAGGAGAGGGATTTGCGTCGGGTGTTGTAAGGCATGGTTGCGGTAGTCTAGAAACGACGTAGACAAGGAGTGCGTGGTCGTAGATTGACGGCTTTTTGGAGCTGAGACTGATTATGTTACAGGCTAAGAGTAACGTATGCGTGAGCAAGGCGTGCGTAGAGTCGTCAACAGCTGCTTGACACCTGCTTCACAGTCGTGTTGGAGATGTTGGAGGAGAAGGAGGAGGCTCGTGGAGGGTGCCTCGTTTTGGGGGGGAGGGAGGGCGCGGAAGGCTTGGGTTTGTCGAGATGGGATGGTGGTGGTGACGACTTGACGAGATCGACAATGCTTTGCTTCTGAACCACGCCAACAAGGAACGTGCACGAATAGCAGACAAGATAGTGAAGAGGAGGATGAGTCTCTTTTTTTCTTGCCTCGAGTCGCCAACAACTCTTTTGTAAAAGTAGTAGATAACAAGAATATGATGAATAACCCTTTTTTCTCCCGAAGACGATAGCTATCCAAACCACGATTCAGAATGATGAGTGTTTTTGAAACAAATTCGAAGAGAAGAGGAGTAGAGGGAGGGAGAGAAGAAAAGAGAGCAGAGACGACGGTGGTGGCGGATGATGGGGGGGGGAGTCTATCTGTTATGGAGGGGGAGGAGGACTGTGAGTGATGAGCACTCGGCAGCAACAACAACAGCAAAGAGACCTAGGGAAGACGAGACAACGAAGAGACAGAGACAGTGCAAGAAAATGATGGGAGGACGGGATGGAAGCACCTTGCGAACGGCAGTGGAAATGGCAGAATGGTGGATGGATGGATGGATGGGTGCCAGGTGAGTGGCACGGGTGGTGGGTTGAGTACCGTTGCGCTGGTGTGGATGGAACGCGCAATGGGAAAAGCGTCGCCCGTCACTTTTTTTTTTTTTTTTTTTTTTCTCCTTGTTCCCTCTTTGCATTGCCGTTTGGCGAAGGGGGGGCAAAGGAGAAGGGGGGGGGGGGGGGGG